CCAAATATATTTTGGAGGTGGAGCCTATAGACATTCTTGATGATTGCATTTGGAATAGTATAGAAAGAGATGAATCAAAAATAACTCTGAGGCTTTTGGCCTGAGCAACTGGAAGGAATATCTGCCATCAGCTAAGATAGAAAGGCTGCAGATAGAGCAGAAATTCAAGTTTGGACATGTTGAGTTTCAGATTTTTATTATTTGCCATGATTATGAATCTGAAATTTAGGAAAGAGGTCTAGGCTGGAAGCATAAATTAGGAGATCATTTGCACTGATATTCTATTTAAACCTTGAAATTGACTGAAATCACCAATGAAACTAGTGTAGTTAGACATGAGGACAAAGGACTGCATTCTGGGGCCCTCCAAGACTGAGTCAGAAAGAAGAGACAAAACCAGCCAAGGAGACTGAGAAGAATAAGACATAAGGCAGGAGAAAAACCAGCAGTGTGTGCTCTGCTGGAGCCACATGGAGAAAAGGTGTTAAGGAGGAGGGAATGAGTTATTGTGACAAGTGCTGGAAAGTTCTTTTTGAAAGTGAGACATGAATCCATCAAATTGCAGTTAGAGACCAGTTCCAATTATTTATAAATAATGAGAAAAATGAATAAGCATTCCGTTCAATTGAATTTAGTCCCTCAAACACATATCAAATGCGTACATATCAAAAAGAAGAATAGGAAACATGGTGAAATGAAAACAGAACACACAGTTTTATTTTCTTTCTCACACTAGAATATTTTATCCTCTACTGCCTCTCACACTTCTTCTCCTGTTAATATCTGTGTATGGTATGCCTTCCTTTAAGGAAGGTTTGAGAAGGCCATCAGGGACCCCTCCAGCTCAAGTCCCTCCTCAGGGAAACCCATGGCTCCCAGGAGCAGACCTGCTTTCATATACTTGCCAGGCTCAATCGCTGGCTGGGAGCAGCCCGCAGGAGGTATGGCATCAGCACAAACACAGTGATGGAATTCAGAGAGCAGGTGGGGAACCTCGGTCAATTACACTGTAGTTCGCCTTCCATGAGGTGCATTCTCATAACCACCAGAGGTACCCTGGGACATCAATAAGGTCTTCTGTCTTTAAAACTTCCAATGATTTACCTAGTAATTGGTTTACAGCAAGAGCCAAATGTGTTCCACTGTCAGATGGCAATAGGGTAAATTTGGTTTTTTTTTTTAACTTTTTACTTTATATTGGAGTATAGCCAATTAACAATGTTGTGATAGTTTCAGGTGCACAGCAAAGGGACTCAGCCATACATATACATGTATCCATTCTCTCCCAAACTCCCCTCCCATCCAGGCTGCCACATAACATTGAGCAGAGTTCCCTGTGCCATACAGTAGGCCCTTGCTGGTTATCCATCTTAAATATAGCGGTGTGTACATGTCAATCCCAAACTCACTGACTATCCCTTTCCCCCATTTTCCCCCCAGTAACCATAAGTTCGTTCTCTAAGTCTGTGAGTCTGTTTCTGTTTTGTAAATAAGTTCATTTGTATCATTTCTTTTTAGATTCCGCATATAAGGGATATCACAATATTTCTCTTTCTCTGTCTGACTTACTTCACTCAGTATGAGAATCTCTAGGTCCCTCCATGTTGCTGTGACTGGCGTTGTTTTCATTCTTTTTAATGGCTGAGTAATACTTTTGTGTGTGTGTGTGTGTGTGTGTGTGTGTGTGTGTGTATACCCCACATCTTCTTTATGTATTCCTCTATCGAGGGGGATTTAGGTTGCTTCCATGTCTTGGCTATTGTAAACAGTGCTGCAATGAACATTGGGGTGCATGTATCCTTTTGGACCATGTTTTTCTCCAGATATATGCCCAAGAGTGGGATTGCATGGTCACATAGTAGCTCTATTTTTAGTTTTTTAAGAAACCTCCATACTGTTCTCCATAGTGGCTGTACCAATTTACATTCCCACCATCAGTGTAGGAGGGTTCCCTTCTCTCCACACCCTCTCCAGCATTTATTGCTTGTGGATTTTTTGATGATAGTCATTCTACCTGGTGTGAAGTGATACCTCATTGTAGTTTTGATTTGCATTTCTCTAATAATTAGTGGTGTTGACCATCTTTTCATGTGCCTTTTGCCCATCTGTATGTCTTCTTTGGAGAATTGTCTGTTTAGGTCTGCCCACTTTTTGACTGGGTTGTTTGTTTTGAGGATATTAAGCCTCATGAGCTGTTTGTAAATTTTGGGGACTAATCCATCGGGTAAATTTGGGTACACATTATTACAACAGACTTGGTTCTTCAAGTCTCTTTATTACAACAGACTTTATTCTGAGGTCTCTGCCTCAAACAGCCTGCTCTAATTTCTGGCCTGAAGTTTGCAAACTAAATTTAAGTCATAACATACCACATCTGCAATTCAATAGTCATTACAATCACCAAAAGTCAAGGTCTAAGAGCAAACTGATGTCATCTAAGAACACCATATACTCCAGTTTCTCCAGTTCCTGACTAGAGCAAGGAAGCTTATGAAAACATGTAAGTGTCTGAAGAGTCATATAGCTTTACACTTAGAATACCTGAGAAAATTAGATAAATTGACTTTGGTGAAAGACACAACTCTGTAGGTGCCTATCACAATATAACAATAGGATATTATTATAAAATAATATATTAATATAATATAAATTAACATAATTTTATAGTAATTATATATATTATAAACATATCAGTATCAACACTTCTAAGCAATTTAAATTTATTTTTACTCATTTAATTTTCACAACACTATGATGTAGAAAAATTATAATCACCATTTGTAGATGTGGAAACTCAGACACAAAGAGTTTAAGTGCCTTGCCTAAGATTCCACAGCAAATAAGTGCTAGAGTCAGATTTGAGCCCGCGTACTCAGCCTTCAGAATCATGCTCTCAACCATCCACTGTACCTCTCCTGTACCTCCTCTGCCGATGCCGCTTTAGTAGAACGTGGCATAATACAGTCTCAGTGAAATCCACAGAAATCATAAGCTCTGAACATACCATGGCTCCATCTTAATTACAGGAAGAATTACATTAAACTCACAATTTATGAATTCAGCCAAGACCTGTAATTTCATCAATATGATCATGCTAATGGACAGGGTTTCTCAAACTGTAAGTTAATTCCCATTAGCGGGTCATGACTACTATTTTTTAAAATGAAGTAAAAGAGACTAGAAAACACCAGAAATCATTCAATGTAATAGAGGTGAAGTGTGTGTATGTGTGTATGTGTGTGTGTGTGTGCTGGTTTCAGAAATGATTTATTAACTAAAGTTTGCGGTTAAAAGAAAAAAAAATAAGTCTTTGTTCAAGGAGCCAACAAATCCTCTTTTAAGAAGGGTTAATTCTATTGCCTCCCTGTGGATCATTAGCAATAATGGCACTGGACAGTCAACACGTTTTAACCTTTTAAGGAGGAGAGCTTGGAGTTTCATCTGAACCAGATAGATTATACTCAGAACTGTAGCCGCCACTTAGCCTGTCTATGAGAAGGTAATAAGGTAGAACGTGGAGTCTTGAAAATTAACCCGTGGGAAATCCCAGGGGAATTAATGCCATTGGTTATTTAATCAGCCATCTCATTCTCTACCAACACAACCAAAAGACCATTCATCCTCACTAGAACACTTGACACTGGAAAAAGCAACTAAGTACCGAGGTTTGAGCTAGTTCCCACTCTTGTATTTAAGATTCCTTTTTCTGCCTGCTCAGTGCACGAGCCTGACATTTTTCTTTGTTCTTACGGGCATATATCTAGCTTCCTCCCACAGATCTCTTGCCTGGCAAGAACAGAGTCTTAACATTATTCTCCCCCCACAAATGTCAAAAATGCATAAGCATGCAGTGCGTGCTGGGCTGTGGGTGACAAAGAGAGAAAGATACAAGGCAGTCATAGGCAATATCAATTTCTTTCATGCAGTTATGCATGGCCTTCACACTCCTAAGGGGGCCATAACTGTAAGAGGTGCCTCTTAGTTTATCCAAGCAGTCAGCTACATCTTACTGCATACCCACTGTGGTCAGAGCTTCGTGTGGTGGATGGTGGGAATTACAGCCCTCACACTCCAGGAGCTTGCAATTCAGTGTAGAGACAAGGCAAACAGGTGTGATTAAAAGATATTACTTCATATTTCAAGAAAAAGAGAATTATTTTTCAAAAAATGTTCAAAATACAAATTACATTTTATTACAGATTCACAAGAATAAACGTTGTACACTTATAAAACATAATTATCTATGTTTCCTTGAAATTTATTGAGATTTATGAGTTTTGAATAATAAATTTTTATTATTTTTTTGTTTTAGTCCTTCTGACTAAAGATGGCAAATGTTGACTTATGCAAACAAATAATAATAATCAATTTAAAATTAACATTTGCCATGGTAAAAAGAGCATGGACAGTGGTCGAAATGCATCCAAGCAGCAGTTACTCTAGAAAAGGCCTACAACTGTAAACCACTGCTGAGATAAAAATGAAGGGATCTTCTATTATTTTTTTCCCCAGTTCTTCCAACCAAAGTCTCAATTGCAATCTTTCTCTTTGACCACTAAGAAACATTATAAAATCTGAAGTCCTGTGTATTTATGTCCATTTTAAGTATTTATAGTGAAAAGAATCACTATCACTCAAAGTTGTAATATCTAGACTGTGATTAATGCTTCTGCATTGATTTGCATTCTTATGGGATGCAGAACTTCATGCAGTAGGTGATACAGTCTGTAGCCTAAGATGAGAAACTTGCTCACGTTTTTTTGGCCAGTTCTTGAAGGTATACTACTAACACCCAAGTTTTCTCATTCCAAATTTAATCATCTCTACAGGAGGAGATAGAATGAACTCATGGTTTAATGTATAACTGTATGTATCCCATTATTCAACAATAAGCAGTTTTTTACAGATCATCAGAAATGCAAATTGTTTGAATCTGCAAAGAAATCCAGTAAGAAGAGCAAATACTATCATCTGACGCTACATTTATCATTTTCCTACAGTTAACACTCTACAACCAGATGCGTCACCTACCAGAATCCCTACATTATCCTCAATATCAGTAACAATTCTGGAAAACATCTCCCAGTCTCAAGGTATGACTTCTGTGTGTATGAGTGGAAGCTTGCTTCGCCTGACCCCTCCTCACCGAGAAAACCTCACCCATTTAAAAAACAGCTTATTGAGGTATAATTTATACACAACAAAACTACACATCCTCAAACAAGGGAGGGGACACGAGGAAACTTTTGGAGGTGATGACTCTGTCTAGTACCTTGATTGTGGGGATGGTTTCATGGGTATATGCATGTGTCCAAACTCATCAGATTGTATACATTAACTCCCTACCAATCTTGAGTCATGAAACAGAACTCTTTCAGAATGAGATAAAATGTTTTCACTCCAAGACTCATACCTATAAATCACAGAGCCTTACCTAAACGGGGAGTGGGGGAGGTGGGGGGAGGAGTGTGAGAATTGGCACACATTAACCAAAGGTGACTTTTTTTCTTTCTTAAAATAATAGGCACTGAGAACGCAAAAAATGCAAGCTCTTCTTCAACCAGCCCCTCTTATTCCAGTGAGTAATACGTGCATCTTCATTCAAGGCAGTAGAACTGCAGAAAGTTTGAATGTTACCAATAAGGGAAGGGATTCAACTATAGACAGCCTTTTCTCAACTTTACTGAACCTGCAATCCCATTATAATCCTATATAATTGCTACCTGCTTTGAAAGTTTCCTCCCATTGAGTCTGGTTTTAATAAATACACTTTGGGGATTTTTTTTTTCCTTACCTTAGTGCTAAGCAGCTACCACCAGGGGTCAAGGTGAATTGATGGGACTAATCTCTGATAAGCCAAAGTGCATGGGCAGAGATTCCATAAAAATGAATTTTCACCTTTACAAAACTTTATCTTAATGTTAAAAATGGCCTTTTAAGAAAAGTTCCATTTTAGCAAAAACATATATATGTCAGCCACTGTTTATGCTAGGACTGAATAGAGAATATTCATTAATTTCCCTGAAAATTAAGAATAAGATGAATATATATGAAGCTGTGATAATAAAAGATTATCTTAGGTTTAGGTAAAGTCATTCCATTCAATAAGTCAGTACTGCATTTATTGAGCTGCTGATTCATTGCCATCTTCATTTTGGGAGGCACTAATGATCTCATGTAAGGTCTAATATGAACCCAGCAGAACTTACTTAAAACAAATATTTAACCATAACAGTGAAGTGTAACCCACCCTACAAATGAATCTCCTAGCTATTCTCAATCCCCCGGTAAATATAAGGGGTACCTATGCCAGCAGATGAGAACACCTAACTAAATAGTAACTATAACATCTATATCTCTACTTATATCCCTATGACAGCTTTTTCCTTTCTTCACTCTTGTTTTAACCTGGGAAATGACTGTCAGAAAAGAAGGCAGATGCTAAAACAAACAAACAAACAGCAAAAACCTTCTTTTAATGAGAACAGCAAAAACTCACCCTAGTTTACTGTAGCAACACCACTCCCCCAAGCAGACATTCACAAATACACACATGCTTATCTTTCTTGGACCATATTGTTCCACCATGATATCCATCTATATACACTTATGTTATTGTATGCCTTTTTTAGTCCTAAGGTATTTTTACAGAAAGATATTAGTGATTTTTTTTTTAAGAAGCCAGCTTTATGACTAGAGCATTTCCACTAGAACCAGTAGAGGATATATATTTCTTTTTCTTCCAGTTTTATTGAGATATAATTGACATACAGCACTGCATAAGTTTTAGGTGTACAGCATAATGATTTGACTTACATACATCATGAAACTTATCACAATAAGTTAGTGAACATCCATCACCTCATATGGATACAAAATTAAAGAAATAGAAAAATGTTTTTTCTTGTGATGAGAACTCTGGGGACTTGCTCTCTTAACAACTTTCATATGTAACATACAACAGAGTTAATTCTATTTTATCATGTTATACATTAAAACCCTAGTGCTTATTTATCTTATAATTGGAAGTTTGTGCCTTCTGAATGCCTTCATGCAAGCTATGTATTAGTAACTTCACTATAAACTAGTAAAGAATATAAAGTGTGAATATGGTTCTGACCATAGGGGACAGCTTCTTCCTGGCCAGTCTCCCACCTCCTCATTCCTTCAGTCACCAGGAAAGTGGGAACTGTCTTCCTTAGGTTTGGAGTTTTATTTCAGAAAGGCTACAAGACTGACATCAAGTGGATACATCAGAAATGACAACTAGGGCAAAACCCAGGAATCAGATAATTATCTTCTTTGCTTAAAAAAAAAAAATCTTCTTTTAAATAAAGTGATGTTTAAAGAAGAAAGGAAGCATACATGCTTTTCCTCAGTTCATGAATGATTTGTTGTGAAATTCAATAGCCACTCTAACTGACAATGTCTCCAATACTTTTTAGGTATCATTTTGCCTGTGGTTATTGCTTTGATTGCAATAACACTTTCAGTCTTTGCTTTGGTGGGTTTGTATCGAATGTGCTGGAAGACAGACCCAGGTAGGTAACAGTGTTTTGTTTCATTTTGTTTTCCTAAAAGGAGAATAAACATGCTTAGTCTAAACTTGAACTTAAACTCTTAAGAGGAGAGAGGCATTATACACAGAAACGAACTGCTGTATTGCTTGATCACAGAGGTAGAGGGAAAGGGGCAGAGAAATCCACTGAATGCCGGTGAAGGTAAGGAGTAGAAATTAGCTACTGATGGCAGATAATATCGAATATGGACACATTTTTTTAAAATGAAAAAGCCCTCGTTTTGTGGGTGGTCAGGGGAATACGGTAGTAAAGAAGGCATAAAGTGACATGCGTTAACTATAGCGAAGATTTGTTCCATTTCCGTATAACAGAGAATAAAGGGAAGTATCGCTAAGAATTTCACTTTGGGACCCATAATTTCAAGAAGAGTGTTTTGTGACTTACTTCCCTCCTGGGAGGCACAGCTGCCTTCCTATGAAGGTGTCTCTTCCACAACTGTGTGTTCTGCTAATTGAATCAGTTCCTCAGGATTGGACACTATTGCAATTTTTAGAGGGATTCTAGCCCAACAATTCTTTATTATCCTCCTTAATCTCTCCATTAGCTTTGGAAAGTCTTTCTTCTTTCATTGAAAATGACGCTGCCTTCTTTTACATCCTCACTCTTTTTCTTCTTTTTGCTGCTTCATCTTCTTCTCCCTGCCTCTTGAATATTTATGATTCCCATAATGGCATTACATTTTAAAGTCTTTTTTTAAATAAACTTTTAAACCTTAGGATAGATTTAGATTTACAGAAAAGTTGTGAAGGTAGGTAGAGAGTTCCCATCTACCCTTATGATTAATATCTTACGTTAGTATGGTATATTTGTCACAATTAATTGACCAAAATTGATACATTATTAACTAAAGTCCCGATTTTACTGAGATATCTTTTGGTCTTTATTCTGTCTTTTTTCTGTTCCAGGAACTTGAGGTCTCTTTTTATTTCATCCTTCCTCTGAATCCCCCTCCAGTTCCTGGGAACTCGCCTATGTTATCTTAAACTTCAATCTATCTTTCCATTTCAGACACCTTCCTGGTTGTATAATGTAGTGCCATGTATTCTGCTTCATCCATGTTATTCCTTCTCTTGGAATGTTCAGCCCACTGCTTAACTTTTATAACACACCTTAACTTTTATAACACACCTAATCTCCATCTTATCCATTAGAATCTAGCTTAAAAACAAACTTAATCCATATTTTTTCGACACCCCATCTCTTTAAGCAGAGTGGAGTGTTCTATTACTTCTAATTCCACAGAATTTAATAATAGTATTCATCACACTATAATATAGTTACTTCTCTATAAGCCTGCTTCCCCTGAAAGTCAAACATCGTATTCTGTCTAGGCTGCTGTAACAAAAATGCCATAGATTGGGTGGCTTAAACAACAAACATCTATTTCTCACAGCTCCCGAGGCTGACAAGTTCAACCAACACACCATCAGATTTGACGTCTGATGAGCGCACTCTTCCTGGTTTTCAGATCTGCCTGTGTCTTCTTGTGGCAGAGGGGACAAGAGAATTCTCTGGGGTCTCTTTTATAAGGGCACTAAGCCATTCCTAAGGACTCTGCCCTCATGACCTAATCACTTTCCAAAGGCCCAGCATCCTAATACCATCACATTGGGCATTAAGATTTAACATATGAATTTTGAGGGGACACAAACATTCAGTCCATAACTTCAGGCAACCCCTCCAAGTCACAAACTACGTATGACTCACATGGCATTGTGCATAATAACTAGCAGAGAGAGCCTTATGATACGCTTGTTGAGTTAAATTTTGTAATTTTCAGTAAAATAGAACCTTCCCTTTCCTCACTTTAATTCTAAACAGTTCACTAACAGAACTCTACCTAAGTCTCATATACTGTTAAAAAGTAAAAATGAATCATTTTTATGAGCCACGCTCTTCTTTGTTTACCCCATGGACAATGTGCCCCCAGGACACTAATGAATGCTGTTCCTGAGGCCAATCGCTGACTGTGCAGGGCGCGGACAGTTTGGCGCCTGAGCAAGACAGTGCAAGGGAAAGTAATGATATGAAAACAGCAGTGTTCATTTTAGCTCTTGCTGTAAAATAAGAAAAAAACAAATCAACGTCTTTCCCTCTGGGAGTTAGTGAATAAACTTCTTAATAAAGTCTGAAATATGTTTCTTCACTCAGTTTCCAGAGGGGAAATAGCATTTTTATAAATCAGTTTAATTTCTCTAAGTTTCTAAACCACCAATCCTATCTTTTATGGGAACTCAACCAATCTAGTTGAAGCCAGTGGGTGTTGAGTATACAGGATAGGGGAAAAAACTGTGGGCTAAATCCATCAGTAAAAATACCCTGTAGTGAAAAACTGCTTTGCATAGGAAGATTTGCAAATAAGTTATTTGAAAAGTTGACACCTTCTATTAAAGGGGACTTTATAGGTGAACTGGATTGTTGTTAAAACCCTACTGATGGTAGGGAAGATGAAGTTAGAGCTAGTTGGTGAATAGCATACCGTGCCATGAATTAAATTCTAGGGATTAAGATTCATGTTGGAGTAACTTAGCCAAGGTGACAGAAATAGCAGTAGCCAAAATTTTCGTGGAGATCAACGTCTTTATAAAACAATGATGGTCAAAGTCAAGAGAATGATATTCAAAAGGCATATCCTGATATGAGCTACCTTAGAGATGAAAAGAAATCCAAGAGATGGGAGCCGAGCCATGGAATAAAATCACAGCAAAATCCGGAATAAAGCAAGGCCCTTAAGTGATTACATTAAATATTTTGCCTAATAGGCCACAGATCAATGCAAGGTTTGACCAGCATGATCTGCTCCCGAGAGGCCATGCTCTTGTGCAGAATGAATCACTCTGCGTTCTCACGAGCCCGGCTTGCTTTCTACCGACCCTCGTGGAACAGCCCGGCAAAGCGGACAGAAGATGAGTTACAGTTAGTAGGCTCAGTGACGTTTTGTAGGGCACTTCTGAGAAGCTGAATCCGTGGGCTTCAGATGCAATTAGAAGCAATAGCAGCATCGTGGCTCACCACAAATACAGAGATTTAGGTCCCCAGAGAGAGCAACATATAAAGAAAAGCCAAAAATTCAATTCTTTGTTTTAAGAAGGTAATTCAATACTCTGAGAAGAATTTGTTTCCAGAGATACTGAAACCTTTTTTGGTGTCTGTGGGATGTACAATAATGGATAATAGTTCCACACAGTGATACGAAACTATAAGATTAAAATTAGTCCAGAGCTAAGTTCAGTAGAGTTGGCCTAGTTGAGACTATACCATGAATGGATTAGCTGTGACTGAGGAATGAGTAGTCACCACGTCTGAGGAAATGGTCAGTGGGGCGGGGAATGGGGCGAGAGACTGAAAAGTTAAAAACTGGCTTTAGAGACATCTTTGAGCAGAAAGTGGCAGGGGTCTCAGGTTTTTTGCAGCTAAGCTCCTCACAGCTCTAATAACAATTCCCTCCTCTCCTAGGCACACCTGAAAATGGAAATGACCAGTAAGTAATGCTACATCATTGTTTTCTTCTAGAAGCTCTGACCCTGTCATTTATATAGAGGAAAGTATTGATCCTCTACTCATACTTCTTCGGGTTTTTCAAGTATTTTGCAGAAGGCATAGTATATGGGGTTTGGCTACCTATTTGTCAGAGAGCTCTCAAGTATGAGAAATTCCAACAACTGGCTCTTAATCTTGGGTAAAGTGGTAAAATCAGAAATCAAAAGTTGCCCCAAAAATCATAGAAAAACATAGCTAGAGTTTTAAAATAGTTTTCCCATTGAAATTTTCAATATGCTTCTCACAATTAGGGAAAAATCATGCCTGCACCTTGAGACAGCTCTGAGTGGCTTTACTTTAACAACAGATGGTTATTTTGCTTCGACTTTACTAAAACAAACAAAGCAGTTGTTAGCAATCCTACCAACTGTTACAATCAAGGTACTGCAAAGGGACAAACTATTTTAATGTCAAAACCAAATTCTGTGGTTAAGTTTTCTGTGTTGACCTGACTTTGTAGCCCTTTTTGTGGGTGTTTTTGTATATTCATTGGGATGTGAACTTTAAGAATAATGTCCCAGGCTTCCCTGGTGGCACAGCGGTTGAGAGTCCGCCTGCCGATGGGGACACGGGTTCGTGCCCTGGTCCGGGAAGATCCCACATGCCGTGGAGTGGCTGGGCCCGTGAGCCATGGCCGCTGAGCCTGCGCGTCCGGAGCCTGTGCTCCACAACGGGAGAGGCCACAACAGTGAGAGGCCCGCGTACTGAAGAAAAAAAAAAAAAAAAAAAGAATAATGTCCCTACACCACCTACCATTCTTAATTAAAAGTAGAGGTTCTTGAGATGTCCAAGGAGAGGAATTGGGGTTTGAAACTATTTTGAGTCTGAGAAGGGATAGGTGGGAACTCTTGTTGAAATAGACAGTTCAGACACTATACTGCAGTATCCATGACCTCATGAAAAGGAATTACCCAGAACTCAGATCAGTCCAAAAGGTTTGGAAACATTTCTATGTCTTCCCCTCACAATTAGGAAGTGGAAGCATGTGCAACATGGACCTCATGACAGGTGGGTTTTTTTTGTTTGTTTGTTTTTTTCGGCTGTGCCGCTCAGCATGAGGGATGTTAGTTCTCCCACCAGGGATCGAACCTGTGCCCCCTGCATTGGGATCGCGGAGTCTTAACCACTGGACTGCCAGGGAAGTCCCTACGTGACCCATCTTGATGTTTAATTTAGCTGATGATCATCACCATAACAGAATAACAGAGATTTATTGGCTTGATTCCAGAAATGAAAGTGCTATAAAAGTATATGTGTCTGTACATGAAGAAACACAAGTTTTGCCATAGAAACACACAAAAATATATATGCACGTGTATATTCTTCTTTCTGTTTGTATCATGTTTACTTTCCTTCACAGATATGTAATGCTAATTACTGTGGCGCTAACTTAATGTTTTCTGTTTCCAAATAGACCTCAGTCCGATAAAGAGAGTGTGAAGCTTCTCACTGTTAAGACAATTTCTCATGAGTCTGGTAAGCTCCCAGATTGTCGATTAGATGAAAAATGGTTATTTCAAAATCTAACTTGGATTTTGTTCATGTGAACATAACCAAAAAGCATAACTTCTCTAGAAAAACTCAATCATTAACTCCCAAGAAATACAAAATTCTCCTATGAAGAAAAGATGAGCCCTAGAAATATCATTTTTGGTAAGATTATTAGACTCTCTGGCTTTTGGAGGTTGCATGCAGATGTGTTCTAAAGGATGGGTGGTGACTAGAGGCATTTTCTATTCTGCAGTAGTGGCAGAAAAAACACTAAGTATGCCGCAGGGTTTTTTTTAAAGTATTGCTGTTGTTTTGTTTCATTTTTGGTAATGGCTGTGTACAGTCAACCGGAACTAGGATTCATCAGTTAAAATGTATATCATATTTTATATCACTTCAAATACTTTAATTGAGCTTCTCAGTAAGGACAAAACACAATTTCCTACTGAAAAAATTTACATTTCTTTTTTCTAGTTTCTTAGGTTTTGATTTTGTTTGGTCTGCAATCTAAAAAGATTTTCAAAATACAGCTATGATTTGTATGAATTATATTTGTATCGAAAGCAATGAAAAATGAGATGCTAGATAGTTTTTAAAAATTAAAAAAACACAGATTACATTTTTGTTTTGAGTAAACAAAATATTTAAAACATCAATATGACCAAAAAAATAAAAAGTATATAAATAAAAAGTAATTATGAGTTTTATGAAACAACCTATGTGGCTCTAATTTAAATATCAAGTTACATCAAGACATTTACTATATTCAGTCCCCCCAATTTTACCTATACAAAATACTCCCACAATACATATGTTATGTGAAGTGAGAGCTATCAGATGATAAACATTATAAATATGTTGCAAAAACGATTTTGTAAAACAAAAGGCTATAAATATAGTCCCAATTGAAGAGCAAGATATCAAAGGCTGAATAAGGTCCCCATTTCAGGTAGGAGATTCTAACTAGAACAAATTACAACAGATAAACAAAAGAGGTTGAAAAGCAAGGGCACCCAAAATCTGCAGCGACATGGCCAAATCCCTCATGGGAGCCATTTTCTCTTAAGAGAGACTTTCATTCTCGTATCTCTTACACATTTCTTTATTCCCACACTGTTCTCTTGAAGGTAACCATATGAATGAATGAAAGAGTAAAATTCCTCCACAGGATAATTGGAAACCACTCACCAGTTTCTCCTGGCTGCTTACCAGCCTTGACTAAGTAGCTGAGCCTATTCTACTTGGTCAAGGAAAACCTCCAGGCAAGGAGACTAAACGTGGACCAGTCCTGAGTAAGGTTATGAAGGACCCGGAGTGCGACTACACCATTTATCAAGAAAAGCTCTCAGAATCTGCCTGTGACTTGTGAGCAGCATGACAACCTGTAATTTCATGCACGCTCCTTTATCCCCTCGGGATTTAAACCGAACACTCGGCAGCTTCTGGGGGTCTCCAAGCTGTGGACCAGAAGCCTCCGTATAGGAGCCCTTGGCTCTCCTGGTGAGGAGGGGCCTGAGATCAGGACCACCTGCTCTGCTACCTGTGTCTACCAGGGAAATGACAAGTGACACCAGAATCGCGGCTTTCAGGAGGGGAAATCCACAGAGAAACCTTGTGTTTCTTGGTTGCTAATTTGCTTTCTGATTCTTCTTCAAGGCCCAAGGATAATTCTGTGTAAGCTACTATCTCCCACTGTCATACTAACTGCAATAATAAGTGGGTAGATCACGGTGGGATAGTTAAGAAGACCCTGAACTACCCAAAGTTCCTTTTCTTCATAAGTAGCTTTTCAGGTCATAGGTCTAAGGAGGAAATATTACTATGGAAATAATAAAATCTAGTCTCTGGTACTTTTATTTCTGCCAACCTCAAGTTAGGAAGCACACTTCTTTTAAGAAAATAATCTCTCAAAAGTCAACCTAGCTGATTATAGAAAATATTTGGTAATAGGGGAAAACTAAAACGGGTGACTCTGAGTTGATTTCAGTAGCCTAGAACTGATAATCTAAAACAATGCCCTCCAAATTCTCTTTGTACTACCACAGTTTTTATTAAAGTCTGTCCACCATTAACAGGATTTGATGGTTCCTGAAACACCTGCAAACAAATCTCTTTCTACCTTCTTTCAAAACTTATTCAAACATGCTTTCGTTATAAAATTATGCTCACCACACTCAATAGAAATTACATTATTATAATTATTTTCACTTAAATCTCTCTTCCCTAATAGTGACATCATTCTAAAATATAACTAGAATAGTCTGAAATGATTAGGTTTTATATAAGTGCACAGGTTTAGCCTAAATTTCCACTATCTCCTATATAAAAATTTTTAAATAGTTAGAAAATACAGAAAAAGAATTTGATAGAATATGTGACTATTCACCACTCAGAACTGATGATTATTATATATTTCATATTATGTGCTACATGGCCTAAGGGACATAGTATTAATTAATGCACCAATGTGGGTAACAACATGAAATTTGAGATTCAATGGTCTTAAGAATTCATTGGATTGGTCAGTATGTCAATTTATAAACTCTGGTCTTATATCTCAAAATCAATTTTGCCATTTTAGAGGTCAATATATCATGTTTCCAAGGAAACAGAGCTCTGCAGCAACTCACCTTCAGGGGAATGCCAGTGGATGGTAAATTTTCTGGGTTTCTACAAGCCTCTATGTGTAATGGTTATTGTTCTGAGTATTTTCTCTGGATAAGACAGTTCCTTGCCTCAAGTCCTCCTCCTCTAATTGGCCATGGTGTTCATCCATCCACGCTTCCTGCTTCTTCTAAATATGTTCTTTGTCAAGCAGGGTTCTTCCGTTGAAAATGTGGCCCATAATGTTTAAAATTTGATTATTTCAATTGGGAGCTTTCTTTAATGTAAAAGAGAAAGCCTACTAGGGTATACACAAGAACGTGCTTTCAGAAAAAAATGAGCACCAAACATAGCAGATCACGGAGTCCTTTATGAGAACATATAAGATGCCACTCAGGTTTAGTAAGAAGTCTTGCCAAGTTAAACATCCTCATGATTTACTACAAAATATACATGTGACATGATGCATTTTCAAGATGATTCCCACTTACACCACTCCTCAGAAAGTTAATGTACATTATCTCATTTTTAACATGTAAGGCTATACAAATATGAAGAAAATTGCCTAAATTAAGGAATACATGATTCCACAAAAGAAAGAAAATACTGTATCACTGAATTTAATTTCAAAGCATCACTTGGTTTTGAACTATTTGGAGGAAGAAAAAGCAGATCTGAATCCATTTATAATTTTCCTTTGCTTAGAAAACTCTGATAAGTTTTAATTACTTAAGATTAAGTTCCAACACTTTAGCACGTCTACAAGGCCTTTCATGATGTGCCAGATTTCACTTGCTCAAATTTTGAACCACTTAATAACATGTACTTCCCAGATGTCACTCATCTCCTATCCTCTGTGTTCCTCACTGAGCTCAAGCTCTTTTGAAGGGGGAGACAGCACCTTGGTCTCCTTTGTCACTCCCACCTCCCCTCCTACGCATTGTGGTAATTACATATTATTCATATATTATTAGTAAACTAATACTAATTAGTATATTATGGTAATTACTCATTAAATGTACAGTTACTTTTCTGTTTATTTATGTTTTACAAACGTTCATTAACAACTGGAAATGAACAACTGTAAAGATGAGGGAAAGATTTATAGATGTATAAAACCATACAGAGATTCGGCATGTCTTCACAGCCCCTCAATAGTTGTTGCGTCAGTCTCTGCACTTACACCAAGGCTTCCTTGACTGTCCCAACTGTACGTGGTCTTTCTCTCCTCTAACTGTTGATTGGCAAGTCAGCATGCACTACTGCCTTGAATATCTCTTCATGGCTTAAACTGCCATTTTAATATCTGACCACGTTATGCATAATGGAGAATGGGGGAAAATGGAGAATAGAAAAGAATTTAAAATTACTTATGAGAGAAAACCTTGATATGATCAGTATTGGCATTTGGTGTATTTCTTTCCAGTTTTTTTTTTCTAGGTGTATATGTACTTTGTTTGCTTTTACCGTATATATCATTATTATAACTGTTATTTGAATCATATGGTTATTGAATCTTTCCACACTTTCTATTCCCAGTTAGACAGACTTTGGGAGGTATTAAGAATTGAAGTTTTTCATACGAGCTGTTTTACACGACTCTGGCAGACAGTAGGGGTTCAATAAATGTTTCTTTTGTTTACTTCTTATTCCTGTACTTTATAGCCATGGATTCCAGGACATGCTGTGCTTTCTGTTAAATAAACAATAGTGAGCAAAGGGCTGTAGCGGGTCAGGGGCTTGTGAGGGCTGTTGCTCTGAGCCTGACATTTTCTGAAGCAGAAGACTTAAGGATCTCTTGAAGGGGAGCCCTAGGTTTGTTCTTCTTAGGTCTCTGGCACTATTTACTATCGCCATGACAGTGCAGGTAACGGGTGACATCAATGGAGTCCCCAGAAGACTTGTTTCCTAGCTGGCAGATAAAAGCTGGAGCAAAACAATGACATTTGTTCTCAAAGCTGGACGCTTGGACCCATACTGCTTTTGTATAATGTGACTGCTGTTGTTACTTGAATCTACATGAAAGACACAGGTAATGTGAAATGCTTTGAACACAAATCCAAGAGCAAGTAAAAATGCTTGGGGGCTTCCCTGGTGACGCAGGGGTTAAGAATCCGCCTGCCAATGCAGGGGACACGGGTTCGAGCCCTGGGCCGGGAAGATTCCACATGCCGCGGAGCAACTAAGCCCATGTGCCACAACTACTGAGCCCGCGCACCTACAGCCCGTGCTCTGCAACAAGAGAAGCCACCGCAGTGAGAAGCCTGAGCACCACAATGAAGAGTAGCCCCTGCTCGCCGCAACTAGAGAAAGCCCCCGTGCAGCAACGAAGACCCAACGTAGCCAAAAATAAATTAAATAAATAAATTAAAAAAAAATGCTTGGAACCTCTCAGCTCCCCATCATCCTAAGTTAATATTTATCTTTATATTGATGATGGAATAACATGGTTATTTTGAGCAATGTTCCCTGTGCTGCTTTGTACGTCACCAACGTATTCATGTTGGCCTATAAATTCATTTTCACAAAACTTTCACTGAAGTATTTAAACAAAGGACCCTAGAATGTTTTCCTGATAAAATGGCATTTTAAATATATGATGTAGTTTTGCTCAGGCACAGCCAGCTTATGGAACAAGCAAAATTCAATAACTTATTCCCTAGGGCGCCTCTCTTGCTATCACCTCCCAACTCACACCCCCTATCTGCAGGGAGTGAGTTAGCATTGCTCCTCTAGGGTGAAAATAAACAATGGCCGAATAAAGCTCATAAATCTTGGTGAACAATTTCCAGGCAATACCAAGAGGTAAGTTGTGGCTCTAATGACGTTCTTGAAGGGAAATTGGACTTTCCTTGAAAAACAGAAAACAAGCCAAGAAACTTGTATTTTCATCGTTATTCACTCTCTGCGCTTATAGATCAAAGCATATCTTCTGCTTTTAGGTGAGCACTCTGCACAAGGAAAAACCAAGAACTGACAGCTTGATGAATCCTCTCCACACCTGGGCAATAAATATGTAAGTTCCCTAATTCCACTCACTGAGATACTCATTAATATCTGTTTTGTTAGCCTGCTGCAGCTCAGATTATTTTTAAAGACTTTTATAACCTGAAAAGTTAATAGCTTGTGTCAGTTAAACCATCATTTTCTATTTGTCTAAAAACAAACTCTAAGAACATTTGCCAGAGAAATAAATGTCTTGGGGGCTGAAGAAGATTCTTCCAGTTGCCCTGCCTACCTCAGGAATGATACAATTCCTCCTTTCTGCCTGTTCGTAATGTTTCCTCATAGATGTAGTTTGCCTCTGCCTGGGTCAGCATATATATACTTAACAGTGGCAGTTAGACAGGGTTCTATTGCTAAGGAAGATTTGCAGGACCCAAAATGACAGTAAAAAAAAAAAAAATAGTATATGACATAGGAGCTGCATTAAGGTAAGAATGCGCATCACAGCCAAAGGTTGGCTCAGGGAGAGGGGTCCAGAGATGCCAGGTGGGAGGTCCAATTGTCCTCTCTCAGTAAAAACCATACCCAGATGTACTTCCTCTCTGGAGCCAGGAACCATGGATGTGTGCACAAAGTACCTCAAACAAGGTGATCCAAAATGCACTCTCAGCTGGGGCTTCTTATACAGTAAGTCCCCTACATATGAACCTTCAAGTTGCGAACTTTCAAAGATGCGAACATGCATTCCATCGACGTCAGGCATGAGTGAAATTGCACTCTGTCTCCTATTGCTAACGACCCTTCAGCTCTACCATCTCCCACCTCCTCTCCCTCCTCCAGTCAGTAACTCTTCTTGCCTGTTGACTCGATGCCAGCCCCTGTATGCCAGCTGTTGTACTACTGTACTTTTCAAAGTACCATACTGTAAGAGTAAAAATGTTTCCTTCATTTTTTGTTTTTTTTAATGTATTATTTGTGTGAAAAGTATTATAAACCTATGACATTACAGTACTATACAGCTGATTGTGTTAGTTGGGTACCTAGGCTAACTTTGTTGGACTTACGAACACACTCTTGGAACAGAACTCGTTAGTATATAGGGAACTTACAGAACCCAGATGGTCATGTAGGCACATTCTTGCTGTATAACTAGATGAGCGACAGAGCCCTCCATGTGTCTCAATGAGACCAGATGCAAGGTGATCAATCTCATTACATTAATTGTTAATCAATGAATAATTGAAGCCTCTCAAAACTATGATTACAAGCAACTGCTATTCTGTGTGTTCCATTCTTTGACCAGGAGTCAGTGCAATGCAGGTACATGTCTTATTTCAGTAAAACAACTCAGCCCGATTTCAGGCCTGCTGGAATTAACCTTTCCAGCTTAGCATGGGACCATCTTTTGCTTTTCTAGAATTGGGTAAGAAAAGTTTCTTTTGACTTATTTTTCACAAGCAGCATTGATTAAGTGCCCTCACAATTAGGGTTTGATCATTTTTAGAACCTGCAGAGAAATTTACCCTTTAGCAACTAATAGTAAAAAAGCAAAAGAACAGATAAATAGGTGTATGCCCAGAATTGGCCTAAACACAATGGTAGTCACTCTGGGTAGCGTCCGGGGGGAATATCATTGTTATGCCCACTACCTATGTCTACTTCCCAGCACAAAGACAGTGCTGTTATGGATACTCAGCCAGTGTTTATTGAATAAATGATGCCAGCCATGCTTCTCTGGCCAGGAGCAGGAGACGTAAACAAAGGAGTGTCATCCAGACATGCATCAGTGTCAGAATTTCATCCTTCTCTAGCCAGCAAGGGGTGGGTTAGGATGAGAGGAATCTGGGCCTTTGCCTATCCTTTTGCAATGCACTCTTTCAGATGCAAGATTCAAGAACCTGAGAAGTGTGAGAAATTTGTGGAGACGTGGTCCAGCCCTCTCTAGTATATGGCAAGCTTCCTTCCGTACAAGCTATGGTTTCTTTGCAATCCTGTGGCTAGTAAAAGGATGCCTTCCAGATTGTTAAAATGCTCAAATCTTAGTGACTAATTGCCCAGTTTGGAGGAAGAAGAAGTCTTCTGTTCAGTTGGGAAGAGAAAGAAAGAAAAGTCTCTATGCAGGAGACAGTCTCTATACGGAAGAAAAGGAAGAGTACTGACCCAAATAAGCTCAACAAAATGAATTATTATCCAACTCCCATTCCTTTCAATTTTTGTACTTGAAAAAATATTCCTAGCCTCTAATCTCATGTCTTTTGATTTGCAGAGGTAAATAGCTTCTGTTGCCTTTCTGAGTAATTGTGGAATTACATAACAATGTTCTGAAGAGTAAAGATGAAAGTAATGGGAAGAAACATATTTGAAATTGGTCAGTTCTATTGTCTATTTGTCCTACTCTTTTTCAATATATTTCTATTAGCAACCATTGTACTTTAAACGTAGTAACCGCTGAGTAATTGCTTCCTCCTAGAAATCAGATATCACCTAGAAATCAGATATCAACTCAGAAATCCAGGATAAATAGGAATGCATTTATCAGAGCTAGAAGTTGAGAAAAGAAATTGAGAAGTCTTTGGATTGGTATGCAACCGCAAACACTGATACGGACACATTCACTCATGTTAAAATTTTTCACCTCAGGATAAATTTCTAGATGTATTTAATGCCTGCTGCTTCGTATAACGATCATCTATTTTGTGCTGAATGTTACATTTAATGGAATTCCAAAATACCTTTAATCTATGACCCTTGCCCTCTCTGCAAAGCTTTGTCTAGTGAGAACATGAAATCGCACATAAGAAATAAGAAAATAGAGAAAAAAGTTAAAAAGCTATATGGGCATGATTGATACAACTGATCAATTCAATCTAGTTCTAAAATCTCTTAAGACTTTTATGTCAACAAGAGGAAGGTTGATAGGAGTTTCAAAAAATATTATCCTTCACTGCAGATTTATTGCTATATTTAGGGACCATAATTTATTTAGAATAAGAAAATGATTATTTTAGTTTAAGCTTTCCCTGTATAATTCATTTTCCTCCCAGCTACTAGCTGATACCTCCCTCAAAATGGCTGTTAGTGCAAAAGTAACTTGTGGTAAGTTTTGAAGGCTGCTGGAATCAAAGATTAGAGATACATTAGCTGTATGTACTTCTACACATATTTGAGCTCACTTGTAATGCAAATATGCTCTGTTATCTTCTTCTGAGATTAATTCTTTTATGACAAGAGATTAATTATTTTATGACAAAGTGACAAGGAATTGATTTGCTGTTACATAGGACTTCTGCTAAGGCCAGAATTTTTATGCCAAAATGTAGAGCAGGAAAGCACATCCTTTTCTTACTGATGCCAACAAATGGTCTGAACAAATTTGTTAATAACGAGTGTGAAGGGACATTAGCTAATAATATCTATATGGGGAAAATATATAAAAAAACTAAATGTAAAAAAAAGTAGAAGAAAAATTTGTTAGGTTGTATTATGTGTCTGATTAAGAATTTTCAGACCAGGAAACAATATAACACAATGGAAATAATAGGAATTCTACTACATCATGACTTAAAATTTCCAAACATAAAAATTATCATAAACTATAAATTATAAATCAGGAACATGTTTGTCATAAATATGAGACCAATTCATTAATATTTTAAATATACAAAGACAGTTATACAAATCATAAATTTTTTAAATGAGCAAAGGCCAGGAACAGGCAATTCACAGAGGAGGAAATAAAAATGGTAATATAAAATTATAGAAGAGTTCCTGTACTATTACTAATCAAAAATGGAATTAAGACCAAAAAAATTATAACCTTCAATTACTTGAGTTTTTCTTTTCCTAATTTTTAAAAATCATACTGATGAAGCAAATAGTATCATATGCTGCATTTGACAGTATAAATTGGATTAACTGGATTAATCTTTCCAAAGAGCAGTTTGGTAATATTCACTAAGAGACTTAAAATATTCACATTTGTCACCTAGTAACTTCACTTTTAGGAAATTTTCAAAAGGAAATTATTTGAAATGTGATTAAAGATTAATATACAAAGAATGGTAGCAAACATTTAGAAACAGCATGTCCAGTGGTATGGAAATTTCAGATAAATTAGGTATAATCCAATCAATGACATTATACAACTAGCAAAAGTGATTATCAAGACAATTTTTAAATTGCATGTAGACATGTCCAAGATATATCTTAAATGAGGGGAAAAACAATTTTAGAACTGAAAAGAAAGTCTTTTGATTGTTCTGAGAGCAATCCTGTGCTTTAGAAGGGAGGAGACCTACTGCCACCTGGCCGCTCCCTCTCCAGTAGGTCTCCTGTCCGTTCTGTTCCAAGCCACCTGCCAGTTTAAGAAGTGAGGGGAGTTTCAGATCAACGAAGAACCAAGGGGCAGCAAGACCAATAACTTGTATGAAAGTCTCATCCCACAGATCCTCAACAAAGTGGAATGTTACCCATTTCTATTTTTCTTGCAGATGCAATTCACTGTACTTCTGTAATTTTCTAAATGATATCCTTGATAATCTAAAAGCATCTTTGTGAACTTCCAGAAAAGCTTAACATGTTCTTCAATTATTTTTCTTACATTTTAAAATGAAGAATGAGGGCTAAAAAGAAAACATCACAAGTAAAGCAAGATTTATTTTCTGATCCTAGTCTATGGCCTTCAACAAATTTCTTTATAATGCTTTGCAGTAGGTTCCACATCTATAAAACCAGGATAGAATGACCTTTTCTCCTAGAACCATTGTGCTTCTTTGCTTATAAAGTGTTGTCAATAATGATTAAAGAATCTATCATGGGGGCTTCTCTGGTGGCGCAGTGGTTGAGAGCCCGCCTGCCGATGCAGGGGACACGGGTTCGTGCCCCGGTCCGGGAAGATCCCACATGCCGTGGAGTGGCTGGGCCCGTGAGCCATGGCCGCTGAGCCTGCGCGTCCGGAGCCTGTGCTCCGCAACGGGAGAGGCCACAGCAGTGAGAGGCCCGCGTACTGCAAAAAAAGAAAGAAAGAAAGAAAGAAATGCCCTGCTTTACAGTCCTTTCCACAGACTAAGACTTGACCTGGATCCTGTGTCCACTCTCTGGTCTTCCAACTGTCCCGCAAAACACAGTAACCAGTGTCCGGCTCCCGCACTGCAAGGCAGCAATGCAACCATCCCTAGCAAAGGTCCTGCCTCACCGCTCATGCCATGAGGGAGCAAGATGCAGGTCTCCACGCTGGTCCACTGCCCACCCTCACCCCCACCATATCATCCTCCTCCCAGACTCCAGCAAACCACCAGCACTGCCATCAGCAGCACGACAGCACCTACCCTGCCATGCCGGGCATGTGCCCCTTTCCCAATTAAAGCACAGAAGCTTCCATCTCCTGCTGTTTTGGGGCGCCAATACAGAAAGTTCTTTCTGTACCGCAAACAAGAAAACCCAAAGTAATAAACCAAAGCCCTGACTCTCCTTTCTGTGAAGGAGAAGTGCAGAGTTGCCTGTTCACTCTTCTCCCTGATAAGTCCACGGAAGCAAAGCATGAAAGTTGCCAATCAATCTCTTAATTACTCACATTGTTACCCCAAGCAACAGACCTTGAACGATGTCGCGTTAGTGATAGGGTGCGGTGAAGTGCTTTCATCAGAAGAGGAATACGATGAGATTTGTGCTTGAGACACATCACTGAGTGTTCAGTGTGGAAGATTAATTCAACAGGAGTAAGACTGGAAGCGGAGAGGTCAGAGGGCTATTTCAGTATTCCCCGGGAAAAGAGCAAGGGCTTCACCAGGTCTGCAGATACAGTAGGAATACAGAGGAAGAGGCAGAATAGAATAAAGAATTGTCTGGAAGGTGACATTCTCCAGAGGTAGGGATTGTGTGAATGTAGGCATTGGGGAAGAACTATTAGGGGTATAGATTATGCCCACACATCTAGCATGAGTGCCTGGATGGATCATGAAGGTAAGAGCAAAGATTGGAATTACGGAGCGAGAGGGAATAGGTTTGGGAGGCAGTCTAGTGGGTTTCCTTTCAGACTTGTTGAGGTTGAAGTGCTTATGAGACATTCCAGTGACTCTACTGGGTGGAAAAATTCAGCTGGTCGCTAACATTTCTTACCAAGAGATGGTGTCCCCCAGCATCTCTACGTCTTCACTTTCTTAGAATCTGACCTTTTTTGTTTCCCCCTTTCCCACCCCACAGGCTTACTCTTCAGCTTCTGTGCTCCACGGTTAGAAAGGGAGAAAGCCCTGTGGATTCAATCCTGACCTCCAATCCTGCTCGCCAGTGTGCACCTGTCCCAATAAAGTGATGTCCAGATGACACGCAATAATCTAAGAGAATCGGAAACCATCCTGGGCCTCTCCTGTCCTTTAAGATGTGAAAAAACACATTACCACATTTTATAGGAACATTCCTAGGGGAGGGAATTTTAGGAGGGGCATCTGTGAGCAGGTAACCTGACAGCCCAGGCAGGTGCCTTCACTGATGAAATGACTGTCCCTTGAGTTTAAAGTTTTCAGAACTAACATTTCTTATCCACGGAGACTTTCCTACTTTCTCAGTGTTCTTTTATTACCTAACGTTTGTATTTATTGTTTTCTATTATGTTAATGCAGGGAAAATTTGCAAGTGTATTATTAAATATTGGGTCAAAATCCTGCCATGCCACTTTGTACATAAAGATATTTTATTCATACTTACATGTGTTACTTTTCATGAATAATTGCTGTACTCAACACACTAAAAATATGATAATATGACTGTGAAAATGGCAATGATATTGTCTTCCCATAATTATGAGTATTTTTGGATTGATTATTAGACTATGAGAACTCACTAATGAAAGGCATCTAATAAGTGAGAAAGGGACAAAGGATTCACGTATCAGACCCTGTTCAAGGGAAGTCAATTTACCATTTCTTTGGTCTTTCTCTTTGTATTTCACACTATGTGACAAGGATGTAAGGGCATTTATGACACTGTACTGCATTCATTATGAAGATAACAGGACTGTGATTTTTCATAATCGATTTGATTGACACTATCTCTGTGCATTTTTATTTTCTTTTAGAAATGTACTGATTTGTTCTAGCAATCATTCTTAAATCTCCAGTTTGTAGAAACCAACATTTCATAAATACATAATTGTGATATTATTTTTCAGTGTATCACTTTCCTAAAAATACCATATGATTATAGCTGCCGCTCCATCAGGGTCAAATTCTTCTGTTGAAGGCTGAATGATAAACCTTGACCACTCCTTGGACACAAGGGATCAAGACATCATGATGGCTGAAGTTCTGTGGAAAGTTCTGGAATGAAAACGCTGCCAGGGGCAGCTCTTTAACTTTTATGATTGCCTAAGCTGATTTCGGTGCTAAATTATCCTAGTGATACGAGGACAATGTAGTAGAGACAGAGGGTACATTTAAAACTACCTTTTACAATTTATATTGTTGCAGTGTATTTTAAAATGTTCAGCGTTGAGGATTATGTGAATAATCACTTTGGTTTTTGCTCCCTGATGTCTGCACGACTTCTAATCAAGGACACCAAACAAGAATACTTATATTTTTTACTGGTGCCTCTTTATGTTTCTTTGAGAAGAAAAATGGGGAAGAAAAAAGAAAAAGAACAACAATAGGGTATAGAAAAAGGCTAGGATCTCCAGTACCTACACTTTCCCTTGAGGGATGCTTTGCCCATGCTTAACTCTAACCTAGGAGTCTTTAAATGGGTGCAGCAGTGGCTAGAGCATGCCAACCATGGAGCATTTGTCTTCAAAAGAAAAATATTCCAACACCCCCAGAATGCTTTACAGAGCAAAAGCACTGTTACACAGAATGTAGTAAAGATACAAACTCTTCTGCAATTTAAATTACTACAAGTGATATGCTATTTTGACTTCTAGAAAAACCATTTTCTTGACCTTTAATAAATATTGTTTGAAGGGAGTTTATAAGGATCAGGAAGAAGGAAAGCTTTTTAAACATAATGAAAGAATGAAATTCACTCTAGTTCAAGAATTATACATAAGGAATATGCTTTATACTTACAACTATAGCATTAAATCTTTAAAAAGTCAAAGTGATAAGAGGATTGAGATATTTGCAGAGATATTCATGGCATTTTGTAAAGTCAATCTCAAAGGTAATGTCTGCATTTTTATAAGTCAACTTGAATGTCTGTTGAAATAAGGCACTTGGTTTTCAAGCCAAAATTATCATTAATCAGATTTTTTTTAATTATCTGATTTAGATGATTTACTTTTTTTTGCAGCCCCCCCACCCCACCCCTACTATTTTTATGCCTGATTTCTTATAAGATTTTTATTCTGATATACAGTTCAAATGTCACTGCAGCCAAGGAAAAAATGTATTTAGATCAAAGGCAAACCTTTCTGTGTGTTTGTTCTGCATGACAATATGAATATAATTTAAGTCTATCAATAGTCAAAACATAAACAAGAGCTAATTAACTGTTGTCATCTAAGAATAAGCGGATGTTGTTGTCTGACACACTGGCTGTGATCAGTCAGCAGAGAAAGACTTCTAAATTCCCCTTGCTGAGCTGAAATATTCCCTTACATATCTGACAAATCTGTATCTTATTTCTTGTCTACCTGCCAAACTTAAGTTCTTGAGGATCAACTTAGGACACCGACAAACCTTCAACAATGAGCAGGCTAGCTCTTCCGCCTGATTTTTCTCCATTGAGAATTTATGGGGTTCTAAAAAGAAAAGTCCTTTAAAAGCTGTTTTTTGAGTGGTAGTCTCAAGACTGTGAATTTGTTAATTATTGCCTAATATTGAAGATATCCGTCATTGTGATTAATTAACTAATAAGTACCTTGAAATGAGAATATGTCATGGATTATCTACAGAACTTCTGGTCACAATTTCCCCACAAACACAAACAAGACTTCTCATGTTCCTTTAAATGAGTATACTTTGTCTTTTCTTCAAGGGGATTTATCCTATGGGCCTGAACACCTTTTTCTTGTTCTGGATACTTTTTAAAGGAAAAACAGTTTTGATAAATAATGAAAAAACCTCTATCTTGTTCATCAATATTACATTCCTGAACTTAAAGTCAGAATTCTACCAAAGTGATTACGGATAATATCATTGGTTAGTGACACTGTGTCTGAGGCACTGTTTCCAGGCACTGTGCTAAAACCTTCACATCTGTCATCTCAGTTAATAAGAAAACAATGATAAGATACAACTTCTAATATTATGTTATATTTGTTTTATTATTTTTCTCAGCAGCAGCATATTCATTTTAGATATATGGAAACCAAGACAGAAAATTAAATAACTTACCCAAGGTGGTACAACTAGTAAGCAGTAAAAATTTGGATTCCAACCTAAACCCCAAATCCCTGCTCTTCATCACTATATTACTTAGTCTTTCTAATCTCAGTTTACCTATATATAAAAATGGGTTAACAATTATGCTCCTGGCTATAGTTAGTGGTAAAAGGACCACTTTACCATCCCATTATAAACAAAGGTGACAAAGTCATGCATTGATCCTATGAAATCTCCAAAAAACCTACCAAAATTAATAAATTAATTTGTAATGGTTGAAGAATATAAGATCAATATACAGAATCAACTGGTTTCTTTTATTTAGTAACCAAAAAATGAAAATTAAAAAAATATATATACCATTTACAATTATGCCAGTATATATAAAATTCTGAGGGATAAATTTTACAAGATATGTTCACTCCCTGTACACTTAAAAACTGTCAAACTTCTAAGAGAAATTAAAGAATACTAAATCATGCATTAAAAGACTCAGTATTATTAAGATGTCAGTCCTATTCGAATTGATCTACAGATTTATTACATTTTCAGGCCAAATTTAATTTTCTTCTTTGTAGAAATTGTTAAGATGATTCCAAT